GCATGCTGAGGCATCCCTTCCCTCTGAGGGAATAGTCACACACGACTGACTGACTGACCAACCCACCATGTAGTATAGGATAGAGTTTATTTAGGGCATGGGGAGGGGAGTTGAGGGAGTAGTAGAGACAGGAAAAGGGAGAGAGGGGGGGGGGAGGGGGAGAGGGAGAGGGAGAGGGAGAGGGAGAGGGAGAGGGAGAGGGAGAGGGAGAGGGAGAGAGAAGAGGAGTAGAGGCTGGCCATGAGCATGTGGAGAGAGAATGGGGAGGGGAATGGGGAGAGAGGGGGAAGAGGGTAAGGGGCAAGAACAAGAGGAGAAGAGAAGAGAGCAAGAGAGTGAGGAGGGGCAAACAGCCTCTTTTATAGTGAATCAGGCACACCTGGCTGTTGCCAGGTAACTGTGGGGCGGAGCCTAGACAAAATGCCAACACCTTATTCCCCCCTCCCAATTCCTTTGCAATGTTTAAGTACAAGCCCATCTTCCTGTTGAGTAGGGAGTACATGTTCAAATACCCTCTCTTCTTCGTGTTCCCAGCACATAGCTAAGGGTCCATAAATAGAATGGGCCCTCATAAAGTGTTATGGTCAAGCTGAGGAGAGTCAGGAAGATCCAGAGTTTAGGGTCAGCCTGGGCTATGAAGTGAGTTCTAGGCCAACCTGGACCATAGGGCGATACTTCATTTCAGTTTAAGACAAAAAGTGTTGCTCTCCCCACCCTGATGGTGCTGTCGTTTGCCTCTGCTTCGAAGCCCCTGATCTGGCTTCTCAACTGAAATCCCAATGCTTCAGTCGTAACCCAGACCTTACTATATTAGCCCTCTCTTGCTTAAGTTACTACATTTCAAAGGCTTCTCATTAGGTATAGGATAAGGCACTGAACGGCCCCTGCAGCAGCTAAATGCCATCATGGTCCTGCGTGGATCCCCACATTGCTTCAGCCAGTCTGTGGGACCCCTGTCCTGCTTCTTTCCTGTCCTTCCACCGTGGCTCACTAACAAGTCTCTGCTTCTCTTCTGATTCACGCTGGTGGTACCAGAGCCTACAGATCAGGACTGTGAGATTCGGCTCCCAGGCTCTGGTCATGCCTTGTTGTCTATTTAGTTCCCAGGTGGTTATCACAGTCCTGGCTATAACCAAGGAGAAAGCAGCTCCATCAAGAACTGACCGGCCTTGCCTTCTGACTAACCTTCCTATGTTCACCTTTCTAAGCCTTTTACACACACAGCTTGGACATATCAAATGTGGTTTGAGAAGAGTGGTGTTTCTGTAACTTTTGCATTACCAGCTTTTCTCTGGTTCTTACGAAAGTTCATCTGAGTGAGTCATCATGATTTCTGAAGAAGTCAAAGTTCAGAATTCTACAACCTCCAGCCTCATCCCTCCAGCGCCAGGGTCCCGTCCCAGTCGGATACTTAGTTACCCAAGCGTGTTCTCCACTCCAACCTCCTCCCTTCCTTGTGTCCGTCTCTGAAGCCTTCCATTGGGTCCTCTGGGATTTCGATTTCTCTTGCCTTACCTGTCCCTCCCCAACGTAGTGTGGGCCTCCCTCAATGGACGGATGTTTCCGTCCTGAAGATGTTGCTTCTGTGTAATGAATCCCTGCCTCTGACAAGTTTGAAAACCCACTTCACAAATACACTTGCCAAGCAGCTGCTGCGCACCTAGGCCACCAGGTGAGCGAAGAGGTCACCTTCCACAGGTCAGCAGCAGGCAGAGACATCAGACCTCACAGTGGGTTGGATGGCAGCTCTCCAAGTGTTTTTACCTTAATCTCAGCATGTCACCTTAAGACATGCCCTCCTCCATGGTTTGGCTTTTCATGGCTTCTGACAGGTTAAGAGGAAGTGGAGCTGCTGGGAGACTTCCTTACTTTTCTGTTTTGTTTTTACTCAGTTTGTGTGTGTGTGTGTGTGTGTGTGTGTGTGTGTGTGTGTGTGAAATAATCCCCTGAAACTGGAGTTACAGACAATTGTGAGCTGTCATGTGGGTGTTGGAAATTAAACCCAGGTCTCATCTGGGAATTGAACCTGGGTCTTATAGAAGAGCAGCCAGTGCTCTTAACTGCTGAGCAATCTCTTTAGCCACTGAGTCAAGGACTCTCACTGAGTCTGAAGCTCATTTTTTGGCACTGCTGGCCAGTGAGCCTTCAGGATCTTACTGTCTCTTCCCCATAGTACTAGAATTATAGGTCTGTACACTCATGCTTACACCTTTAAGATGAGTGCTGGAGACTGGAACTCGTCCTCTTATGTGGGGGTAAGTGTTCTTTCATCTCCTCAGCCTATCTTAACTTTTTTTTTTTTTTTAAGATTTTTATATATTTATTTCATGTATGTGAGTACACTGTCGCTGTCTTCAGACACACCAGAAGAGGACATCGGATCCCAATACAGATGGTTGTGAGCCACCACATAGTTGCTGGGAATTGAACTCAGGACCTCTGGAAGAGTGGTCAGTGCTCTTAACTGCTGAGCTAGCCATCTCTCCAGCCCCGATCTTAACTTTTAAAGGCAACTTTTAGTCCTTTATCACAGACTTTTCTCATGGCTTCTTCCCCTTCTAAATCAAGATACCACATGATAAAATGTAGGAGTATTTCCTTGTCAGGGAGAGAGGAAGGGAACTAGATAGAGGGAGAGGGAAACAGAGACAGAGACAGAAATAGTGACAGAAGCAGACAAACAGACAGAGGCAGAGAGGCAGAGAGGGACAGAGAAACACACACACACACACACACACACACACACACACACACACACACACACACAGAGAGAGAGAGAGAGAGAGAGAGAGAGAGAGAGAGAGAGAGAGAGAGAGAGAGAGACCAAGGCAGCATCTGCTTTCATACCTTTATTGGAACATAGTAACACAGAATGGACTCAAGTTCCACCTCAGCTGGCCCTTCCCCAGGCTTCATGCACCCCGTTTGTGCTGCCAGGAAAGGTCCAGAAAGTTCACATTTGCAGGAATCTTCTGATATGGCAGGTTGTCTCCTGGGCACTATGGTCTTGAGCCCTGATTGGTTGTCTCTCTGATCATGCAGGTCCATTTGCACCAGAGATCTTGTGCCTCCAGCTATTTGTCTGTGACTTAAGAGACTCACCTGTGAAAGACTCCCAAGAAGATGTCTAAATGGGTCTCTAGGGCTTTCAGAGGGGATTGGATAAAGACTCAGTGGTCATCTCTGGGAGTCATCAGGCCAAATTACTCCTTCAAGTTTATTGTCAGGCTAGCCCTTAAAATATTACTGTGGACCATTCTTTGCACATTTCCCTGACAACTTTAACTAAGCTTCTACTACGTGTGAATACTCTTCCAGAGACCCAACAGGCAGAGATCAACAGAAGGAACTCATGCGTAGAGGAGGAAGATGGTGTCCAAGAGACCACAGCTGGCTGTCACATTATAATCAAGCAAATACCTTTTACATAAAGTTTCATGGTGTGTGACAAGGGCCTGGTATGGGAAGGGTCAGAACAGACAAGGAAGAAATCCTCCAGGAAATGGTATTTTCGATGAGATCTCATGACATCAACTGTCCAGAAGAGAAAGGAACATTTGAGGTCATGGAAATAGCACTCTGAGTGCCTTGTTTGCTAGAAATAGTAGATCTAAATAAAATGATAAGACAAACAGGGGTGGAATTAAGAGAAGGTAGGGGATGGCAAAGCGGGAAGCTAGAGGGACATGGAAGCTGACAAGGCCAGGCCGACAGCCATTCTAAAGAAGGCCCTGGATGTGACACAGTAGGGTATGAATTTTCCCAGCCCACTGAGGCTGTTGTGTGGAGAGCTGATGGGAAGAGGAGGAGGGTGGGGTGGATACAGGAAAGAGATCTAAGCATCTTTTCCAGTTGTCCCCATGGAGACCACAGCAGCAGGGTCATGCGGCGCAGGGAAGATGAAGATTATCAGTTGGATGGTGGATGTGTGTTGAAGCTAAGAGTGTCCTGCATGAGAAGAAACAAGGTAAAAGGAGGGGCCAAGGCTAACTAAGGCTTTTGAAGCTCAGGATGTATCCTTTGCTTGAGAATGGGGGGCTTTGGAGAAGCAGGTGAGGGAGAGGTTGAAGAGTGTAGTCGTGGACTTGTTAAAGGTAAGGTGCCTTTGAAACATGCAGGTGGAAATGACCCAGGGCCTGATGCTTTGCCTACAGTCGTGAATCAGTAAATATCTCCTTGTTTGGTGACTAAAGTCATGGATGTAGATGACATCCCAAAGGGAGAGCCAAGGTGGGAAATCCCATCACCGGCTTCCAGGGGACGGTCACATCTAATGGTGGTGTAGAGGACAAAGAGTCATGAAGAGGGCTGGAAAGTCACATAAAGGGTGGATATGGTGGGGCACAGGAGAGGGTCTTGGAAACCCAAGGAAAGATGGGTATCAAGGAGCTGAGGTTAAGGAAGGGCAACACCATTGAGAAGTCCTAAGGGAGAGAAGCCCACAGACACCCTCTTCTCTCTGGAGCTGTCACCAACCTCACCTCAAGTCTCTTCAGTGTTTCTCTAACTACAGATAGGGAGTTTGTCCATCTACACAGAGGGGTAAAGAGCTGCCCAGAGGGGCCAGGAATTTGTCCTGATCATGTAGCCAGATAAGGTTGGCATTAAGTCAACCCACACATTTCTACTCTTTGCATCTCCCCAACCTGTTCTTCCCTGGGACTCAGCAGACACACTTTGCCCCACAAGTCCATTATACACCACTTCTTGTTGATAACAAGCACCATCAATGGCTGTAGCTTATCATGGAGGGCTTCCTGAAGGGCTAAGACTTGCTAGAGGAGGGTTAGCTGAGTTAAGAAACTGTCTTGGCTTTTCTTCTGAGTGTCAGTGTAGTTTAGAGAGCATGGACATAAGCCTGGATTTTCATTCCATCCATCCATCCATCCATCCATCCATCCATCCATCTATCATCCATCTGTCCATCCATCCATCCATCCATCCATTCATCATCCATCTGTCCATCCATCCATCCATTCATCCATCCATTCATCATCCATCCATCCATCCATCCATCCATCCATCCATCCATCATCCATCCATCATCCACCCATCCATCTTCCCACACATCCATTCACTCACCAAGTATTTTCTGAATACCTCTATCCCAGGCATATTTTCTGGCTGAGTGGCCTGAGGTACATTCCATACTTCCCCTGTCAGTTTCCATCTCTGTAAAGTCTGGATAGTGATGCTTATCCTAAGCATATATATATATATAAATTGTGAGAGCCTGTGTAGGCAAGGTACCTGGAACTTAGGTATTCACAGAGGGCAATTTCTCTCCTCTTCCTTCTCTTCCATTCCTTCCTTTTCTTTTTTGTTCATATTGAGACCCCACAAGGAAGCGAGGCCAGTGCTTTACGGTAGCATCCTTTGCCCTGATCAGTAGAAGTGCATGTTTCCTACAAAACCATGTCCATGTACACCTGGGTACACGTCTCTGTCCTGCTATCTCTGCTCATGGCTCCTAGGGCCAGCACCAACATGAGCTTTGAACCCAAGAAATTCAGCCTAAATAAGCCTAAGTACTTGTCTGGAATCTGCTCCCAGGGAAGTTGGTCTGTGTGTTCTGTGAGCCTCCAGGTTCAGGCTGAAGTTTGTCCTCAGTGGTTTGGTGGGGCTTGATCTACAGGGGCTCCAGAAAGGAGATCCAAGTGATAAGGCCAGTATCTCGGAGTACTGGGCAGGATCTAGACAGCCTCACAGGGCAACACCTCCATTCCTTCCCGGGATGGTGTCCTTTCTGTCTCCTCAGACAGTGGTTCCCCCAGTTGCTCCTCTGATGGTCCTTCTGGGTGTTGCTGGAGGAAACGAAGCCTCCACAGGCTCTTGCAGCAGCTTAGGAGGTTATTGGAGCATATGATGCAAAACAGTGCTGTTTTCCTGCAGAGACAGAAGCACAGGTCAGAGCTGGGGTACTGTCATGGCTAATCTTCCTTGTCAACTTGACAGACACGGAAAGAGGGACCCTCAGTTGAAAAATTGCCTCCGTCAGATGGGCCTATCTGTGGGATTTTTTCTTGTTTGCTAATTAATATAAGAGAATACAGTCCACTGTGGGTGGTACTATCCCTAGGCAGAACATGAGCTTTGTAAGGAAGTTAGCTGAGCAAGCTGGGTTGAACAAGCCAGTAAACAGCTGCCCTATTGGTTTTTGGTTCAAGCTTCTACCTTGAGTTCCTGCCTTGGCTTATAGTTCTGCAACCTGTAAGCTAAAATAAACCCTCTTCTCCCCGAATAGCTTTTGGTTATAGAGGTTTTTGTTGTTGCTGTTTGTTTTTTTCACAGCAACAGAAAGCAGGCTGGAACAGGTGATCACCAAGACAAGCCCCTTGAGGATGAGCCTTTATGCTATGCTTCCTCTAAGCCTGGACCTCGAGGAGGTGGTGTGCAATGGCTTGTGGGATTCTCTTCCCTGCTTAGAGCAGGAAGTTCTACAAGCAGCAGCAGGAAAGGCCATCATCCTATAAGGAAGAGCATCCAGGGGCCATGCCTTCAAATCCCTGCTCTGTTCCTGCATGCTGTGTTGATGCGATCCTTCCTCTGAATCTCATATGGAGCTACCCATAACTATATATTTTCCAGCTCTGGTAAGAACCTAGGGTTATAAAACATACCCGAGTGAACATCTCATACAGTAGGGGTTCCCAGGTAATGTATGTCATATTTGTGTCATTTTTCAATGTTCATAGTGTTGGAGGTGGAACCCAGAGCCATCTCACACATTTCTTGCATGAGCTGGGGAATCTTGGGAAAACACTGAAGTTTGCTGCCATCCAGTGGGACAATCAAGCTCTCTGCTCCTTCTACCATACAGGGAGAGGGATGGAGACTGTACTTCCCTGCACACTTCTGCCCGGGACAGGATAGCTATGGCTGTGGATGCCTGGCTTTGTAAGGTTCCATGGACAAAGACTGCTGATTCCCAGATTCCTTCTCTGTGTGGCACACCCTGGCTGAGTCACTGCTGGGAACTCCCAGGTGGCCCCTGGCCTCCTCTGCTAACACTCTGTACCTTCAACTGGAGGTCAAGGTCAGGCCTGTGGCATTTCAGAGGTTCTTGATCCCACATGAGCAGCAATGTACATATTTGGCCACGTTAGCAGGGAGGTGTCTGCCCTTGGACGAACATTCCAGTAGCTCTGAGAAAGTCCTTGTTGCTGACATTACTACTGAGGAGCCCCTTCAGGCTGAATGAGATTACTGATATAGTTCCACTTGTTTCTTTCATCTTGATTTCTATTTCATCACTAACCTATCCTGTCTAAATGTCCCCATCTTCTCTTGCTTTCTTCCAAACCACCCCTTTCTTCATCCCCTCACCACAGCGTCTCCTGGATGTCCACCTTCCCTTTTAAGGTAAGGCTACCCAAGGCATTTTGACCTGCATACATGCGAAGTCCAGGGGCCTAGGCCATCAACCACACCAAATCAGGATAGGAGTCCCACCGTGTGCAGACTCCAGCCTAGCCTCATGGAGTCCCCAACCCCTCTCATAGCTCCATAACCCATTTCTGTCTTAGTCCCAACACTTGCTGCCAAGACTGTTGATTGGGCTTCAAGAGGGAACAGGGCCACCTTTTCATTTTCTTCTCCTGGAAACACTTTAACTTTCCCATGAGATCCCCACTGTGGCCCATGTGGAAGAGGGGAAGCCGACCCCCCCCCACCCCTTTGCTGTGTTCTTCACTAGCCTCACAAGTTCTTTCCTCTTTTTTCTTTCTTTCTTTCTTTCTTTCTTTCTTTCTTTCTTTCTTTCTTTCTTTCTTTCTTTCTTTCTTCCTTTTGCATGTTGGGGGGATACCTAGTTGATGAAACTTATCTTGAAACATTTACTGGAGCACCTTTCTATTGGGAGGAGAGCACCTTCCTATTGGGTCTGGAAAGAGCCAATAGACAGGAACTTGGGCCAGCTCCAGGTCACACGGGGAGAGGGGTAGAAGGAAGCCTGTTGACAGTGAGAAGCTGAGCTGAGCGCTGACCAAGGACCAAGCCCTGATCACCCTCAGCACTGGCTCTAGTCACATTCAAGCTACCCTTGACTACGCATGAGTCAGTGGCCACCTCCACCATCTTTCTTTACCAAATTTCTGTTATTGGTGCTTACCAGTGTCCAGACTAAGGATATTCCTAAGTGTATTATTATTGAAGGTGTTAGAATACATTCAGCCACCAGGGGTCAGAACCCAGCATCGATGCTCCCTCATGGGATGCCTCCCTCCACTCCTCTCCAGACTCCAGGTTCCCTCTGTGATAACAGCAACATCCCAGGACGTGAGCTCCAGGGCCTTCTTCCACTGACCCCTACAGGACAGATGGCCAGACAGAACCACCGACTGCTCTGCTCGTGTAACTCTGCATATGTTGTTCCTAACACTGGACATACCCTTCATTTCTTCTCCACCCCCAGGGCATCGGGGATGGAACCCAGGGCCCCACACATGCTAGCTCTACCACAGAGCTATGTCCCAAGACCTTCATTTCTCCTTGGGTGACCATTTCTACTCCTGTTTCAAGGCTGCACAGTTGTCACCTCCTTGGGCAGCTGTCTCGGAGGTTTCCCAGAATTACCAACTCCTCTCACAATTCTGCACTTACTTCCCTGAGCTGGCCACTGGATTGCTTCTCTGTCTCCCAGACTAAGCTAGGGGTGTCAAAACGGTAGGTGGCAAATTTTGCTTTCTTTTTTGCATTTGACAAACCACGTGTGTTTATTTGAGTGTGTCACACACGCCATTCTGCCTGTGTGGAAAGTCAGGAGACAGTTTGTAAGTTACTTTCACTATGAGGGAGTCATGGATCGAACTCAGCTCCTCAGGCTTGGCAGCCATCACCTTTACTCCCTGAGCCATCTCCATGTCCTGAGTTTTTCACCTTCTTCTATCCATTGTCTACCTCAGAGTGGATGTTTTTGTGTGTGAATGGATGGATGAATGCTTCAGTCAATCTCAAGAGAGCTACATGCTTTCTGACTTGGCCACTTTAGACTGGCAGGTGTGGGAGCGCCTATTCTGGTTGATTCTGGCAGTCTTCACCTGCTTGCTGGCTACCCCACCTCTCCCAACTAGCCTGCCAGAGCCTTGAAAGCAGGAATCCCAGCAGACAGTGGCAGGTGGAGTGTGTGTATGTATGTGAGAGTGTGTATGTGTATATGTTGGTGGTGGTGCCATTTCAGCAGATATATGAAACGTCCTTCAGTGTGTTTAGACAGAATCTGAGTTTGATCCCTGGACCCACAAGATGGAAGGAGGGAATCAACTCCCATAAGTTGTCCTCTGACTTTCTATGTATACCATGGTACACGTTCATGCACACACACACACACACACACACACACACACACTCTAAAATAATGTGGTTTTAAAAACCCACAGAAAATGATAGACAAGAAGCAGCACCATCTGAGTCTTTACCTGGTCACCACACCCTTTTCTTCTCCACTATGACAATGATGCTACAAGGCAAATGTTTTCACCACAAAACTGAGGCTCCAGGGAGGTGGAGATACCTCAAGTACTCTCCTCGGAAGGCAGTTTGAGGCTGAGCCATCTGATTCCAAAGCATACGAACTGCTTCCTATGAATAAATGTTGCTCTCTGGGATGCAGACTACATGCATGTAATAGAATGATACCGGAAGACAGCCTCGGAGACAAGGTGAGTAACCAACCTCTAGTGACTTATGGTGACAGCATGCACAGAACGATGGCTGAGGTACAGACAGAGAACAGTGTGTGGCCCTTCGAGTGAGCAGAAAGCACATGAGATTAAGAGTGGCTTGTGTGTGGCTAGGTAGGCATGCACACACATGTGCATGTCCAGTGCCTGAGCATGTGTGTCCACTCGGCCTGTGAGCGAGAACTAGCTCTATCATGAGAGCTGTGTAGAACAGAAGCCATTTCTTGTTCTGAGGTGAGAGAAGGGGGGACATTTGTGTTTTGCCTGGTACAATGGATGGGAATTCAAATGTTTGGGGTTGTGGGGCACAGGGAACAGCATGAACTGGGGCTGTGTTCTGAGGACAGGGGAGGAGAAGATGCAGAGGAGACAGAAATGCATTCTTTCTGTGGCAACAGGATGGTCCTGACTGAGGTACGGTCACCAGGTACTGGGGAGCTACTGAAGGCCTTGGAGCACAGGGGTTTAGGGAACTGTCTAACATTTCTGGCAAGTTCCCTGTGGCCTAGGCTAACCCTTCCTCAGGACTCTGTGTGGAATGTCTGAGTGTCTCAGAAGATAGGGGAAAGGAGCTTGCCCTTCAATTGTTGCCCCTCCCACAAAGATGCACACGCTAAAGGCTTGGTGGTCAGTCAGGTGTACTAGTGGGGTGTATGTGTCAGGGTGGTGTGGGGTGTGTGCCTTTAAAAGGAAGGGCTTAGTGGAGAGAAGTTGAGTCATTGACAGTGTGCCCCAAGGGGGATTTAGCTCAGCTGCCTCCTCCCTCTCTGCTTCCCAGCCATGATGAGGATGAGGCGAGCTGTTTGTTCCCCAGCATGCTCTGCTGGACTTGCCACCTCAGACCTGAAGCAAGGCGGGCAACGGCCATACACTTCTCAACCTGAGGAGAACCTCTGTTTTGAAGCTTCTGTCTCAGCTATTTCACCCCAGAGACAGAATGCTGACCACTATACCCCTTGTCAGGAACTAGTCCCCCAGCACTGGGAGGGTGCAGGGAAGGGGGACTGGGAGGCTCTCACGGGTGTCCTCTCTCAAGGCGAAGTGTGTGATCCCGCATTCATCTTGAGCTTGTGCTGGGTGTGTGGCCTGGGACTCTCTCAGCAGCTTGTTGGCTGAGCGCCAGCTTGAGTAACCAGAGATCCAGCTCTAGGCAAGTACAAGTTGCTGGTAAATATAGGAGTGGAGGTTACACACACCTGCTAGATCTAAACTCCGGGCACTGAGGGATGGGAACCACAGAAAAAGCGTCATCTACGAGCAATTATGCACACTAGGCCTGGCCCTAGGCATCTTGTGTACTCGGTTGCTCGGCACACTAACACTGGAGATGAATTACTGTACCGTGGGGGGGGGGGGAGGTTGCAAAGGTCAGACAAGTTGGGAAACTTGCCTGAGGCAACACAGTCAACAGGTTGGTGCTGGGTATATGTAATGGCTATTCCTGGTTTTCAACTTGACTATATCTGGAATTGGAGGGCTCACCTGTGATCCAGATCTTGAGGCTGGAAGATACAAGTTTCTGACCTGGATCTTGGTATGGAGATCTTGAGGCACAGTGGCCATGAAAAGCTTAGGCCCAGGCAAAGTAATGCACGCCTTTAGCCCCAGGAGACTAAGGCAAGGTCTGAGTTCAAGGTCAGCCTGGGACAAAGCAAGTCCCAGATCCAGGAGTGGTGGTACACACCTTAATCTGGCCATACCTTCTGCTGGAGACCTACATAAGGACATTGGAAGAAGGAAGATTCACTCTTCTTTGCCTGCTTGCATTTCCTTGCCAGCACATCTGTTGGGATCTACTTCTTCAGGATTCCAGTTTCAAGATACAAAAGGCCTGGTGAAACAACTAGCCTCATGGGACTGAGAAACTACTAGATTTCTGGACTTCCCATTCAAAGCTGCCCATTGTTGGGTTAGTTGGACTACAGACTGTAAGTCATCACAATAAATTCCCTCAATATAGAAAGACATTCCATGCGTTCTGTGACTTTAGAGAACCCAGACTCATAAAGTGTGTTACAGCACGTTGCTTGAAGAAGAAACAAAGGTGTGGGGAGCCCTACTTCCTGTTTAGCTCCTCCCTGTTTCTCACCCAATGGCGTTGGACTGCTGGCTAAAAACCTTTGAGAATCTCCAAGTCTCACTTCACTTTACAACTCCCATGTGAAGAAGAACATTTGTTGATCATCTCTAGATGAGGAACCGGAACCTGGGGACTTCGGTCACTTTCCCATGGACTCAAAGCAAATAAAGATGACAGTTTCTGGGGAGACCAGCTGCAGCAGACTCCCTGCCATGCTCTCCTCAGGAGGCATGAAGCAGAGGTTGGGGCCGGGAGCTACATGGTTCCATCTCTCTTGAATGTGAGTCCACTCAGATCTTGCTAGGTCTAGCTTTTGTTTACCCTGTCTCCTTGTGAATCCTCTCTTGAAACTGGATTTTAAAAAATTAATGTGTGTTCATGTGTGCATGCATAAGAGAGAGTAAGAGTGAGTGAGAGAGAGAGAGAGAGAGAGAGAGAGAGAGAGAGAGAGAGAGAGAGAGAGAGAGACAACACACGTGTGTATGCCATATGCCATGGTGCACATGTGGAGATCAGAGGACAACTTGCAACAGTCAGGTCTCTGTACCATGTGGATCCTGGAGATTGAACTTAGGTTATTAGCCTCATTGAAGCGTTCCTTTATTTACAGAGCCATGCCACCAGCCTCAGGACTGTTTATCTAAGATAAAGGAGACCCTAAACTCCCTCCAGACTCCTGCTAGTGGCTGCTTTTGAAGAAGCCCCCAGGGCATCTGATGCATCCCAGAAGTCCACTCCCCTGGCTCTTGGCACCTCACTGTTGAGGCAGGCTGAGTGTCCATGCTGTTGCTTCAATAGTGGACCTGAAGATTGGTGAAGCCTGCCATTTGACCCTGCTCTGGGGTTCCGTAGCCTGTTCCTGTCTCCTGGGTATCCATGCTAGTCTCTTCTCTGAGTTCTTAATTTGCTCTCCAGCGTCTTAAGGGCTTCAGACTTAAGTTTGGATAGGGACTTTCCTTCACATGGCTTCTCAGCTCCTCAGAATCTCTTCCTCCTTCTAGGTTCCTACCATGATCTTTCTGAGCTAGTGCTCTCTCTTCCTGTTTGGCTTTTATTCTCAGCTCTGGTCAGCTGGCCACGCGACACTTACAGGATCCTACTGCTGAATATGGTTTTGAGGAAGTGATACCTTCAGATGTAGTTAGCAGCAGGAAGACCTGTATAGCCTGTCCTGAAGACAAGCAAAGTGGAACAAATGGCCTAAAATAATATCCCTTCCTTTTGGCCCGGAACCCTGTCTCTAGAAACTCAGTTTCTAAGAAAAGTCTGAAAGAAGTCTGGGCATTCTCTGTTCAAGGATGTTTATCTTGGAGTTGCTTACGGCAGCAGACAGACAAATGGCAACCCAAGCCAGGGCCTGTGCATGTGACTGATTCCTAACAGTGCTCACAGAAGCTTAGCAGCTGCCACCTGTGACCTAGGCCATACATTCAAAGTGTGCTGGCACAGAAATGCCACAGGACAGGTCTAGAGGGGCCCAGATAGTTTGGGGAACTTACCCCAGAGGCTGGAGGTGGGGCGAGTCCTGTAGTGACTGCCTTCAGCATCCAGAGTTACTGGGGTCACAGATGGAAGTGACAGAGTTGTCTGACACTGGAAACTTAAGGTTTTCCTTCATCTGTGAAATCGTGGTCTGTCTGCTCCCTGTGCAGAAAGAAAGGAAGACTCTTACCCTGGGGACACCCAAGCACTTGCTGACAGTCCTCTCCCTGCACCCAGAGGGAGGTGCTGACACAATTGGCCCACTTCTCAGACAGAGGCAGTTTTAGAGAAAGGAAGTAATGCCCAGGTCAGCTGGCTGCCTCTGAGAGACAGCTTCCACGAGGTGCTCTGATGGTCAGCTTCCCAGGGATTAGGAGTGAGCTGGCAAAATCGAGACTCAAGAATGGATGAATCCAAAGAGACTTGGTGAATTAGACCAAGCATCAGCTGCCATCAGGGAGAAGGGGAGGAGGAGAAGGAGGGAGGCAGGGAGATAGGGAGGGATGGAGTAGGGGGCGGGGGGTGGGGAGCAAAGCTTCTTAGAGGCCAGTCCTTCATCAGGACGAGACAAGGAGGGCAGAGCACAGGGCTGTCACCACATATGCACCTAGACGTGGACAGTAAGACTAAGGCTCCTCTGTGACTTTCAATTGTAGATTATATTTAAGCAAAAATTAGCATTGCCTCCAATAAGGGAAAGGGGGGCTCAGAGGGTCATGGGACTTACAAGAAACTTCCTTCACTCCTGAGCTTATGCAAAAGCAAGCAATTGTGTTGGAGAAGGACACTCTCAGGTTGTGCAGCCATTTGGGGAGCTGCGTTGCTGCAGTGTCCCTAAAGCTCCTGGTCAGCTTTTCAGGGATGCAGCTGTCTGAATTGCACATGCTCATGTGCCCCCAGTAAGTCCATCAGCTTATCTGGCTGGCCCTGGGTGGATTTGTCTCCCTGGCTGCTTTCTGCCCTTTGTATCTGGGATGAATTGAAAGCAACACAGTCAGGGGCTTCCCTGCCACCCGGCTTGAACGGCAGTCGGTGGGTGATGGTGATATGTGGGCAGTCGGTCCTCCAACACTGTACTAAGTCTTATGTAGCCTGGGACATAGTGTGCCCCGTACCCTGCAGCTTTAGCATGGGGCACACACAGGACAAGAAAACCTACTGATGGTCACGTGTTAATCCCTGCTACCCTTCAGCCCTTGGTACAGGTCCCCATTCACTTCTCATCTCTGGGCAGGGAGGACAGGACAGCTCAGTCAAGGGAGTCTCAGATGTAGACACCCTGCAATGCTATCCCATTCTGGCTCCCAACACTCTGCTGTAAACAGCTTCAGTGTTATATAAATACCAGCGTCGCCCCAAAGCAAAGACCCCTGGGGCTCACTGCTGTTTCTGCAAAGGCAGGACCAGCTCTTCTGAGCCTCTGAGGACCTGACTTTCTCAGGGTGTCAGCCAGCAGATACCTCTACAGAAAAGGCAGGGGCACCAGTAAGGCAGGCTGCTGCCTGTTCTTAAGGCTGGAGATCTTGCTGTAGAGCCGCCTTGTGTGTAGCTGATGCCCTGACCTGGCCCTGCTCTGGTACTTACAACTAATCATGACAAGAACAAATTCATTGCATCTGCCTCTATACACTAAGCAACTCATCTTTATGAAAACCACGTTCCCCATTGCCACCGCCAGAGATTCTGGACATAACACAGTTGGGGTTGTGGGCATAACTTCCCTCCCTTGTTAGGCACTGATATGTAGTGATTGTTAGAAGGCTCTCCTGTGATGAATCCAAGTTCCCAGCTTTCAGATGAAGGACAGGAGGCTCAGATTCAGGACACAACTTGAGTAACTCAGTCGTGTCCTGGGAGATTCATGGAAGCCCTAAACTTTTCAGCTTCTCCCATGCAAAAAGCCCCCCCACCCAGGGAATAAAATCCACCACTTTCCAGGTGTGACACAGCTGTGCCAGGCACTGTGTGTGAACTGGTGCTAAATCTCATCCTGTTCCTTTTAGGGCAGTGGTTTGAAACCCCATTTTTTTTTTTGACTGGAAAGCTGGGGTTCAGAGAGGGCAAGCATATGCCTAAAGCCTCAGGGCATGTAGCTGGGAATTGATATTCATGTCTTATCCCTACACCAGCATTGGTAAATTATAGTCCATGCATTCAATCCTACCTACTGTTTGTTCAAACAAAAAAGGCTATAAAAATGTAAAGTAGCACTTCATGACCCATGAAAATGTTATACAACTGACATTTTGGTGTCGGTGAACAGTACTTTAGTGGGACACAGACCCCTTCCTGCATTTATTTGTTGATCATGGCTGCCTTTGAGCTATTGGCAGACGGAGCAACAGTCATGTGTTATTTAGCAATTTGACAGGATCTGAGAAATGCATCGTTAGGAGGCAGACCACTGTGCAGATGTCTCAGTGTGTACTTACACACTCTGAGTTGCCGGAGCCTTGCATACACCTCAGCTGTACAGCATAGGCTGACATTGCTAGGTTAAGAACCTGTACAGGGAGACACAGTGCTGAACAGTGCAGGTAATCCCAGCATAGCGCTGAGAATTTGTACATCTTAACATAGACATAGTACTGCAAAGGCATAGGCAATAAGATCTTTGGCTTCTCTGTTACAAGTTTAGATATGGAACCTATCTGACACTCTGAAGGAAAAAAAATTCCCGCTGAAATATCTTCTGTGGTTCCTGGAAGGTGTACAACACTTCCAGGTATGTCCCCAACAAGACACATTGGCTGGTTTCAGCCCAGAGTATCAAGTGGAGGGTGGAAGGCTCTCTCTGTGCTACAATACAGAGGCTGTGCCCCACAGGGGAAGGGGCTTTGGGGTTTTTCCCTTGTCTGCTTAGCTGGGTGAAGTTATTTCCTCAAAGGTTAAAGTTAACAAGTCAGTGGCCCTTTCCTCTCCTCCCAGGCCCTGCGAAGGCAGTACCTGCTGATGTGCCTTAGAGAGAGGCCAGGGGAGGGGCACAGTCTGGGGAAGAAGGTAAAGTAGGGGTTCAACTTCCATCTGGCACCATCTCCAGATGCTCTATTTCCAATGAGCTGCCAACCTGTCTGGGGCCACAGCGGGGTCCCCACTGTTCTTTCTCTTCCCCCCAACTTCCTCTGAAAGGAAGAAGGGCTCTCAAAGCCCACATTCACTGCAGAGAAAGATGAAGCAGTGGCTTTCTGTGGCTGTGGCTGTCTGCTCAGCTTCGCAATAGCTAGGCATTTGGAACCCACCTGGGAGGGAGGAAGAAGAGGGTCAGATCTGGGCCAGCTAGGTGGCCCCAGACACTGCCTCATTGTAGATCTCTTCAGCCAAGCCTGTGGATGACAATCTGTGTCCAAAGCCCAGAATACCTCCCTGTGTCCACTATGCTTTCACCTGTCCCCAGTGAAGGAGAAATGGGTCTTAGAAGGAAGGAATGGTAGAAAAGCGAAGACAAAAAAAAAAGCAAAAAAAAAAAATAAAGGAAGACTAGACACTGTAAAAACGGATTTTTTTTTAAAGCATCATGTTAAGTGAAAAAAGCCAAGCACAAATGGTTGAGGGACAATAACTCCACAGAGACAGGGGGCTTCCCTTGAGTTAGAGGCTGAAGGAATGAGTGGTGGGAACTGGGATGTGACAACAAAAGGAACTGGGGGTACTCTTGGTGAAATATAAGTGCCCCAGAATTAACTATGACAGTAGCTGCACACTTCTGTGAAGGTTCTAGAAACCACTGGCGTGTGCACTTTGAATGGGTGGGCGGATAGTACCTGAACTGACTGGGAAGAAACAAGAAGGAAAGAAGATGAAATAGAGGTGGGAAGAGGAAGAGACACATGACAAAGAAATACATTTGTCCATGTGCCTGCCATACACCAGGGATGGTAAGGGCCTGCGCCTTCACTCTCAAAGGCAGTCAGAATGGTCGAGGCACCATGAGTCATTCTGGGTCCATCCAAACTCCAGGCAGCTAACATCAGGACAGAGAAGGAGACCTGTCCTACACAAAACAGCCAGCAGGACCCTAGAGGTAGTCGGAGGGAGGACAGCCTCTGTCATTTTACTGTTTGGGAGGGAGCTGTTAAATGCTGAAACCAATGTGCCAAAAATCTAGGCCATGTCGGAGAGTCAGATGATAGAAATAAACACATTTGGGCTCTTGAACCAGCCAACAAATTTAGGCCCATGAAGAAAACTTCTCTTCTAGATAACGGCTCCTCTAGGGAAGCGTGTCTGTTACACATGAAGCCCTGGCATGTCAGTGGATATTGGAGCCTCATCTTTAGAGAGTGACCTTAAAACAGTAAACAGAGCACCCTCCCCCTCCCCCACACCCCTCCCTCTCATCTCCCATCTCCTGCATAGCAAGCTCATGCTGTGGTGAAGGGTCTATGAATGGCTGTCCTACCTAGAGACACTTTTATATGTCATTATCATGTGCCTTCGCTCTTCCAGGCCCATCTGTGACAGCTGGCGGGGGTGGGCGGGTTGGGAGAAGACTTCCTACTGGAGGCTCTGTGACTCAGAGATGGCCCTGGATGCTTCTGTGAGATCTACCCCTGGCACCAAGTCTTAGAGGAAGGCCTGTTGTGACTTAGTGTATACAAAAAGGGAACAAGCTCTCGCTCGGCTTTTCTAGGCTCCCCAGCGTCCCTCTTTGAGGCTTGGTTTCCTGATGTTTGACAGTGGGTGACTCTAACCACTTCTTACGGTTCTCAGAGACCCAGGACAAGGAATTCATTCATTTGCCAGCCTGCCAGGCACAGTGCTGACTGTCAGGGAGCCAGCAGTAATTGACATGGGCAGGACCTGCCCTCTGGGAGCTTATAGTGTAGGGGGGCAAACACAACACAGATTGAAGGTGGAGTAGCCTGTGGTAGCTGGCCATACACACAAGAGGAAATCGTGCATTTGCAGGCTCCCAGTACTTAGAGCCTGTGGCTGGGTCGGCTTTGACCTTCACTCCGAAAGCAACAGAAGGGTTGAACCACAATCAAGTCGCTTTTTGAAAGAGCCGATATGGCTTTAGAGGGAAGGAAGGCAGACTCAGGGGCTGGAGGCCACTCTGACTCCTTGGCAAGAGGAGGGTTGAAAGATGAAGATGGAGGTGGCCAACTGGGACTCCAGCCCTCGAGGCACCTTAGTCTTTGCCAAGCCAAGGGCAGAAACAAAAGGGCTCTTCGGGAATGAGGAAGTTCCCACTCAGAGGTACCGATAGGCTAGGTGCCCATGCATCTTATCTCCACAGAGATTATGGGAGCAAGTGAGTAGAGGAATAAGACACAGAGGGCCCAGCCTTTTGGCCTGCTCTGTACTACAGATTCATCAAAGCCTTCCAATGCCACAGCTTCCCCTTCTGATATCTACAGAACTGAGTCTGAGGTGTCTGTCAAAAGCAGAGCCAAATTCAAGTCCAGGTGTTTGCTGGTGGACAGATGCCAGGCTTGGAAAACAGACAGGTGTGGAGTGGAATCTTAGTTCTGTCACATCTGGAAAGGTGGTAGCTGGACATCAGTTGGTTTGCCTCTGGGCAGCTGGTGGTTCAGGGCCACCCTGTGAGAAGCCCTGCTTCTTTGCCCCGCTCAGGGCTATGTGCCAAGAGCACTGGCGTCTAACAAGGGTTTGGTAAACACTTGGTAAAAAGCTTATGTCTAGTGATGGAATCAAGGGGTGGGGTGGGTGAGGTGTCCCCCACAATGGGTCTGAGGAGGGGCAGACTAAGCCTCAAGCTAAAAAGGTAGGACCAGTTAGTTGGGCTAACCTCTCCTGAGGTCTCTACCTTGTCTGACTGTGCCTTGCCCTCTCCACTCAGGAGAGTTTTGGTCAGTTGACTTCAAGATTCCTGGCAGACTTAAAGGTTTTGGTTGAATTCTGTTCTTGCAAAGAGGACACGGTGTCAGTCAGCAGGGAAGCTGGGAGCTGACCTTACTAAGGGATGCAAAAGCTCTCACACTGCCCAGGACGCTCAGAGAGAAAACCTAGTTGTTCTTAGTCTCCTGCAATTCTAAAGAAGAATGTGGACTTCCTAACCCTTCTTCTCTGCCGAGCCCATCTGCCTGCTGTTCCCAGAGGCTGAAGACAGACCACAGTTGACTCTCTAGGATCTGAGCTCTGGGTCTACTCTGCAGCAAGCACCACCTCTTGGCTGTCCGTGGCTTTCCCCAGCCGGTACCTAGAGGGATTTTGCCAACCAGAAGAAAGTGTGGACATTCAGACTCCACCAGGTGCCCAGTACCCAGAGACTACTCAGTAATGGAGCTTCTAGGAATGTCCCACCTCGTGTTACTTGGGGAAATTTACTGGACTCTGAGCCTTGGCTGCCTGTCTGTGAAGTGGAGGTTAGGAGCGAGAGAGCTGCTCTCGTAGAAAGCCTAGTTCGATTCCCAACATCCTCGTCAGGTTGTCACAGCTGTCTCTCACTTTAGTTCTAGGGAATCTGATGCCCTCTTTTGGCCTCTGCAGATAGCAAATGGAAGGAGCTGGGTGTAACCTAGTCATCTCTTGTGAGTGTGTTACTAGGCCGCTAAGCAGCTGGAAGGGATGATTGATACAAAGTAACACACAGGACTAACCAAACAGGACCTTTTATTTCTCCCGTCTAGTCTATTCCTCCTGTGTCTTTATTCTTCCTCTGAGATGAACTCAGCGTTGTGAAAGAGGTGGAATGATGTGGTTGAAGTATTTTACCCATCGGGCTGACACAAGGAAGTCTCCAGGTGTGGGGACACCCTGTGCTGGCTTTGGAGGATGGACTTGATAGCATAGGGTGAGTGGAGTCCAGAGTCCAGAATGATATGATTTGGGATACTGTAGCAAGAGTTCAGGAACAATAAGGTTTTCTCCAGAGGGAGGAAGGAGAGGAGCAGGTGTGAAGTCTAAGGGAGGACTCACACCTAGGAGGGTGTGGCGCCTATGAGGACAGATAGGATGAAGCTTAGGAACTAGGAACCTAATGAGGCAATTCTACCCCCAGCTGTCCCTCAGAACTCAGAGCCTACCATCAGAGCTTGCAGAAGAATGGATAATAAAAGAAAGGACTGGGTCTGCTCCACTGACCTGCACGGTAGGGGGCTAAGGCATGGCCTGTGGGAAGAGAAAAAAAGCCACCTTAATTGGGCAACTCCTCGGTTAGGTGCTTTTCAGGGTGGCTCTTCATGACTCAAGCAGGAACTGGCTCTGCACTGCATCTAGCTTCCTCAGTGCCTCCCAAGACAAAGCCATGGGTCCCTGCAACAGCCTGCAGTGACTCTGTCCCCCTGGTGAGTTTATTGAAATCTCATTTAGATTCTGTTTCTCTTCCTAGCCTGGATACAGCCCATGCACTCCCAGCCCCCACTATTACTGCACTCTGCTTACCCAGTGGTCTACAGGTTCTTTTTGTTGTTGCTGCTGTTAAGTAGCCTACACGATTTTGCTTTTCTCTCTCTCCCACCCATGGATCAATGCAACTCCCCTCTTAAACATCCACAGGCTCACTCTGCTGGCTCACATCAAAGAGGTCACTATAGCCTTCTCTTCACGGCCCAGATCTGCTAACCACACCCTCCTCCCCAAAGCTCAGCTATACCAAAGCCACTTGTTCCTAGCCCTTGTGTCTGTCCTTCTCCAAACTCTACACACGAGGCCCACACTTTGGTTCTGCTGAGACCACACCTTCCTCTGCTGTTCTCTTTCCCTACCAACTGGAACACTCCCCAAGGAAGAAGTGATTTGCATATGACTTTTATATGCTCACCCAAGGGTATAACTAATCACTCACAACTCCTGAGTGGCAGAGTTGGGCCTTATACTTCGGCTACCTGAGTGGAAAGGCAGTTTAGTTAGAAAGAAGAGCCTCTGAGCTCTGGAATGAGTAAGTAGCATTTCGTCCAGGTCCCAATTCAGTGGTCCTTGGTACGACCTCTGTTGCCTTTAATGTGGCCTTTTGAATGAAGGTAAACCTTCCTACCTAAGAGGATGAGAGATTTCTGTAAAATGCTCATGGACAGGTCTCAGCATCATCTGCACAGAGGGTGAGGTGTCTCCCAGCACTTCCAACCCACAACGTTTACCTGACTGGGCTTCCCTGGGGGTGTGTGAGTTCCATCCCGCTCCACACCTGGAGCTTCAGGGACTTCTCCTCCTGCCGGCTACCTTCTTGGCTTTGGCTCCTGGACAGCAGAGAGTTGTTCAACCTTAGGGAGGTTTTGTGGGTGCTGTGGCTCGAAAGCTTGCAGTGGAAGAGCTGTTGGTACGCTGTGCGGAAGTCTCTGTTGAGGGCGGCGTACAGGATGGGGTTCAGGGCTGAATTGGCATAGCCTAACCACAGGACGATACCCTCGACCACCTCGTTGACAGCGTCATCCCCTTTCAAGCCACGGTAAACGAAGGCAGTGAAATAAGGAAACCAGCAGATGATGAACGCTCCCATGACGGCCGCCAGCGTCACGGTAGCTTTGTGCTCTCTGATGGTGGCTGCCTTCCAGGAGCTGATGTGGTTGATCCTCTTGGCCTGCTCCCTGGCGATCTTAAAGATTCTGTAGTAGGTGACACACATGATGAGAAGAGGCAGGTAGAAAGTGACCAGCCCATCTACCAGTCCGTATACCTCGTTGACCTGCACTTTGCACTTGGAGGTGTCATTGCCCCCTCTGGTTCCGTTTCTGCTGTTCCACCCTAGGTGAATAGAGAGGAAGGATAGGGTGATGGAAATGACCCAGATAAAGATCAGAGAGATGGCGACTCGAGCAGGGGTGACCAGCACGGGGTACCGCAGTGGGTCCGTGACTGCGCAGTAGCGGTCCAGGCTGATCATGAAGAGGTTGAGGATGGAAGCTGTGCAAAGCATCACATCCAGGCTGGTGTAGATGTTGCAGAAGACCTGGCCGAAGCTCCACTTGAAGGACAGCTGGTAAATGGCAGAGAAGGGCAGCACCAGGAGGCCAAGAAGCAGGTCAGTGGCTGCCAGGGACACAATGAAGCAATTGGTCAGACTGCGGAGCCGGCGATTCAAGCTGACAGCCAGGCAGACAACCACATTGCCAGCGACGGTGATGAGGATGAGGGTGGTGAGGACCACACTGATGGTGACTTTCAATGCAGTAGAGTTCAAGCAGCAGGAATGAACCGTGCCATTGGGCTCCATTCTGGGGCCCTGTGGCTTCTACACTCACCTCTTGGCCTTGGCCGATTCTCTTCCAGCTCTGACCACCGGGCTCCCAACAAAGCCAAAGTTTAGGAGGGTGTAGTGGCTGACACAATGCTGTTCTAGCAATAGATCAAACTGTTCCTTGTGAAGTGCAAGACATGGGTAAGAATGAAGTATGACAGGGCCTTAAAAGCTCACACCCCAGTCCTCAGCTGGTCTTCCAAGCCAGACTTCTCCCAGGTCTGTAGTATGTATCTACCTCCTAGATTCCTCATGGAGACTGAGGCACTGCTGGATGGGTCTTGAGGTGGCTTTGGTTTTATATGCAAGGACTCACACACATAGGCTGTCATGCCCTTCTCCATGGCCAGTGCCTGCTCCCATCGATGGCTTAAGGTAGAAGACTATTGGCTACCCTCTCTGGGGTCATAGGAGCTGAAAATGTAAAGATTGAGTGTTTAGCACTTCAGAATTAGACCAAGCATGACCTGTTCCAAGGTGAGTCTTTCTAGACGTCCATCACCTGATGAGAGATCAGGAGACAATGAGGACTCTTCCGGGTATCCTCCCTTGGGAAAGACCAAGATGGTCAGGGCATATGGTGGATAGTGAAGGGTACCAGGGTGTAGGTCTAAAATACCATGAGAAAACAAAAGGTGGAGGGGCGGGTCTAGGACAAGCCTGCTTTCATTTGCTGATGGTAATTGCCCGACTCCACTGGTAGACGTTTTTCCTCAGCTGATTAAATGATGTGCTGAATGAACAGATAAGTAAATGCACTCAGTTGACTCTTATTGAGTGTGGAAAACACTCTAAACCAGGACCTAACGATCCTTTCAGAGAGAGAACCAGGCATCCTGTATCCTTTTCTTTGCAGCCTGCAGGGTGTCTGTTGAACTGACAACCCTGTCACTGTCACCTAAAAGCAGCCACCTAGGACCATGTGCCAGAGAATGCATGGACTGACATGGTGCATTCATGGTAGACGTGGAACTGCAAAGGTTATATTGCTTTTCACTGCTACAAAATCATCGTGATGTCCCCCATGCCCCAAGGATCTCAAAGCATCCTTATCTCCAGCACAAAAGCAGGCATGGGGCTAGTCTTGGTTTTAATTTTGTCACCTGCTGTCTTCACAATTTGTCAGCTCCATCCTTGCTCAGGGTTCAACACCCATGTCTAAGCGTTATTGGTTTGTATTTAGCAGTGTGAACATTTCCACTTCCAAATCAGCTGGCACACAGCTCACTCAGTGCTAATGGCTGTATAACTGCCAATCATGTGGCTGGAAGTGGTTCCCCTACCACTGCATCACCTTCTCAGGCGTTTCAGTGATTTTTCTTCCCTCCAATTCCTCTCCCCCCTCTCCTTCCCTCTTTCCCTCCCTCCAATTTCCTTCCTTCCCTCCCCCTCTCCCTCCCTTCTTCCCTCCTGTACACACAGTCCCTGACACCTCCACAAGTCCCCTCCAATGGGGACAGCCTATGTTTCCAGTGGATGAGAAACAAGGTCATTCCTTGTTTCATGGCTAGCTCCTTTTATACAAGTCCCTCCTGTTTTTTTTTCTGAGAGTGGCTGGCAGGCTCTCCTGGGGACTTAGACTGTGGAAATCTAAATGACAGCGGAACCCTCTCAGAAGCAAGAGGATCTCCACAGGACATACATTTTACCTCTTAGAGCTCTAGCTTGGATCTGCTCTGCAATCTGAACACAGATGCTGCCTCTGATCATAATGCCTGTGCTGGAGCAGGGACCAGGGTCCCCAGCACCCTCTGCTGTTCCAGCTGCCTCAGCCTCTCAGTCCTGTGAGCTGAGCCTATGGATATTATTTCTGGAGGAGTTTTTCATTACAGAAAGAGCCCAAACAGCACAGGTCTTACCACCACACTTAATTAACTTTGGAGGGGGAGCAATAAGGATAGACATTTTTTGAGACTCCGTATTTCTGATAATAATTTCCTCTACATTTCCTTGACAGTTGGCTGTAGATATTTTCGCATCAGGCTGGTATTCAAGTTAACGTCTGGGAGAGTCTTCACATCAGAGAGAAACAGCTCTCAATATGATTAGAAGCCCCCTCCCTCCCTCCCTCCCTTTCTCCCTCTCTCCCTCTCTTGTTCCCTCCCTCCTTTCCTCTCTCCCTCCCTCCTTTCCTCTCTCCCTCCCTTCCTCTCTCCCTCCCTCCCTTCTTCTCTCCTTCCTTCTCTCTCTCTGTCCCTGCCTCTCTCCTTCCTATTTTCTTCAACAACCATTTCTCTGGGTGTGCTGCAGAGCTCTCGGTGCCAGGATTGCACAGGTGACTATTATGATTTGTGAGTCTTCCAGTATCCATTTCTCGGTCTTTCTGTTTAGCATGAGGCTTCTCGGAGTTTCCCACAAGCATTCTGAAGGCAGGGGGAGTTTGTGTGGTGCTAATTCCACCGCACTCCATGGCCTGTGAGGAGAATACTCACACTACGGGACCATATCATCTACATGTGGGCAAACTGCCAGTGGGTCCTTTCGCCTATAAGAATCCTCACTGTCACCACAGTAGCTAATGGAAAAGTTACTCTGTCAAACTTTCAGACTGCTGAAGTACTTATATGCTCTCTGCGGTAAGTACTTATATGGTCGCTGTGGTAAGTATTTATATGCTCGCTGTGGTAAGACAGTATCCCAGGTGCATTCAGGCAGCATTAACTATCTGAGCTGTCAGCCTAGCCTGCATACCCAGGAGGAGAATGCTGTGATATGTGAGCCGAGGGAGGCCTTCCATAGTTCTCCTGCCTCTCTGTATGAATATCGGCAGGACGCAGCGCCCCACGTATACACACTGCGCTATAACCTCCTTTTCTGAATTTCTCTTAAATGTATAATGGATGTCTCTTTAAAGGACTTAAGATATAACCAATTCTTTTTCTGGTTTCCCAGCCTGAGGTGATGTGACCATAGATGCATGGACAATAATAATATCTTTGTGGGCAGGCTTGGAAATGGCAGAAATATGGAAACAACAGGAAGTTCCACCACAAGGAGAGTGATAGATAGATCAGTATGCTACAGGGAATCAAAACTGGGTACCAGGCCTGGCCTGGCTGATGCTGCACACAGCAGGAAAACATCATGGGGTCCTAAGAACAGCCCTAGGAATGAGAAAAATTGTCTTCACTTAATTTTGGGGTGTGTGTGGACAAACACTCACAGGATGTCATTCCTCTGATACCTGACAGAACCCAAACTCAGACTCAGTTCTACAGTGTGTTGAAGTGGACTCCAAAGGCCCATATGTCCAAGGTTTGGCCACCAGCCTGAGGCGTTACTAGAGGTGGTGGAAGTTTTAGAGGGTAGGGCCTATGAAGAGGAAATGATAAGCCTAATGAAGGAGGTACTGAGGCCTTGATCCTCTCATGTCTCTACTGTTGCTTCCTGGCTGCCATGAGGTGAACAGACCTCTTTGCCATGCACTTCTGCTATGATGCTACCATAAGCCCAAAGCCACAGGACTAAGAGACCATAGACTGGCACCTCTGGAGCTACGAGCCCAAGTAATCGTCATTTCCCTGTTTACCTTAGGTATTTTGTCGCTGACTAATATACACAGTTCAAGTTCCGGTGGCTTGCCCCGAATGCTCATTCTTTGATTAGACTTCAATTAGTCTAATCAACTGAATCTCACCATTCATCATCTGTCATCTACCCACCCACCTGTCCATCCATCCATCCACCCATCTACC